AAAAAAAACTTGCTCTCGAACGCAAACTGAAATCTGATCGAAACATAAAGATTATCATTTATTTCGACATCTTTGTCGGTAGATGCTGAAAGATCTTCAAATCAGGAAGGGTACTTGTTTTGGAGGGAAGCTTAATTTGATTTTTTAAACTCATTATTAAACTAAAGAAGACCAGTTTTCTTATGCAACGTTATCACAGATGATTACAACTGTCAGCATTTTCTGGAGTTCGTTGAAATCGTCAGTACGGTATAATTAAAAAGCAAGCGGGGAAATTGGCAGGTGTGGCTGGATATACAAAACAAATTTTATATTTTGAGAACAGATACTGTAGAAAAAAGAATTAAACCTCTGACCTCCTTTTAAAACTATAGAAACATTGTGTGAGAATGAAAAATGCATAGGAAGGTCTTCGTTCGACAGTATTTCGCTTTCGTCCTTGCAGCTCAACAGCCTTATTTGCAAAGTTCTCGCATCATTCATCGGAAGGTTTCAGATCAAACAAATACATGTTACTTATCAAACAGTAAGATGAAACTAACTGCAATTTGTAAACAAGCCAAGTCCATGCTATCGGAGCTCATCAATTAAACTTAACGGCATGCTTTTCCACCGAGGGCTGACCTTCTTGAGTTCTCGCCAAGTGAGCAGCTTGCGAATACCCATTTATATTCTTGGGCTTGGAGGGCACGGTAAAATTAAACCGTCTTACCTAGGAACATAATGGAATAGCTTAGACAGGACTTCTGGACCTGAGGTGCAGCTCACTCAGAAATCATCGGTCTACAGTGACCCACATGGTTTTCAGGAATTCTAGTAAACACTTCAGTAACTGAACCACTCACATGATATTGCACACCACTAGAACTACCTAAATGATAACACTGTATCGTGCGGCCAGTCAGTTGTTTAATTCCCCATGGCTTTTCTTTCTTGGCGCTCAAACGATGATTGACGCCCTTAAGTCCTAACAGAGTAAGAAATGTTCTTCTCATTTCACTGCCCCATTGAGCATACACTAATGGGTTCGCACCGCTGTTCAGGTAGTGCGCACCCTTAACAATAGCAACAGGTCATGTGAATGTTTTCTGCGACGAAAGAAGACAGTGAAAGCAATAGGCAGCCATGATAGATACAGTAAAAAATGGCACCCAGTTAGCGATGAACAAACCTGTGATGAATGCCACGGTAATAGCCACTTTTCTCTCCCCCTGATAGTATTGGCTCATCAGGCTTCCTGTGCTTTGTCGACCCCCTGGGGAGTGGTGCGGGTTACGTTGAAGAAGAGAGCGCGCTACTGAAAAAACGCCCGCGTACATAAAAAACACAACGGCTGCCGGAATTGCGAAACCGATGATGAACATAACAGTGGCATATACTCGACTGTTCCAAGGGATTTTAAGAACATATGGCATGGTAAAAGACGAGAGAGTAGCCAATAGGCCGGCGACAAGCCATGCAGATATTATCATTGCCCGTTGAAACAAGGACGGTAAACTTTTATAATAAAACGGTCGAGAAACGGCTATGTAACGTTCGATACTTATGGCGGTCAAATGGTAAATGGAAGCCAGAGCTGAAAAGACATCGAAAGTTTTGTAAACGGCTTTAAAAGGGACGGAACCATTATCTACTATGATGATGTTGTAGATCCACATCGGCATCAATATACTTCCAACCAGGAAATCCGACACGGCTAAACTGACGAGAAATGCGTTTTTTCAAATTCTCAGTCGCCGGTTAATCTTGTGGGATGCGACGACAAGAGCATTGCCAAATAATATCGCAACAGCGAGAAGAATGGAAGGTGCTTGAATGGCGCGGAGAGGTACATAGTGGGGCAGCTGCCATTTATCAGTGCCATTTGAATTCTGGATGCTCGTGGTATTAACTAACGTTAGTGAATTCATACAGGCTTTCCTGTGATGATGACTGCGTAAAAGAAAAATCACAATTTTCCACGAATGGTTTCCCAGCTATGTTAAAATCAAATTTCAAATGAAAGCTAAACCCTTTGACTATCTGTCAAGCCTGAAAGCGCATTTCCGCTAAGGATGGCATTTAATATCAACTCATAATTTAAGAGCTTGAAATGTTTTTTCAGTTATTGAAAGAAAGCTTTCAAAAAAGAAACACCACCTGTCTGTACGTGCAGAATAAATTTACTGCCTCTATTGTGATTTTGTCTTTATTTGTTTTATATTATTTGCTTGTAATCCTATCCTAAGGGATTGCTTGGGTTGCATAGCAACAGTTATGAATATCAATAATGGCTTCTTGAGATCCTTTCCTTTAATAACTCAATCCATCGAGAACGATGAACACTAGATTTGTAAATGGATGCATGTTATCGTGATGAAAAAAAAATTCGATGCCATATTCTTTTTTTCGTTGCCCTATTCTAAATTTTAAATTTTCAGTTTTTTTTTCTTTCGGATGTCTTTCCTTGCTGCTTAATTGAAGTTAGCGGGTTAAATTATAATATAATGGAGGCAAATGTTTGTTTCAAGGATGACAAATTTAAACCTGGTTCAACCGCAAAAAAAATCCTTCTTGAGTTTGAAGCTAGCTATCGCTGGGAAATAAGGTTGAAATTTGTCATAGTTATCAAACGAGTTGTTTCAAGATAAAATTGACGAATTAAGAAATCACCCCTGAGAAGAGTTCACGCGGGGCCTTCTGAAATAGTCGCATCAAATTTATGATTGCTGTTTTTTAAAGAGCTATTTATTTCAATTTTGTATTTTGTGCTTTCTTTTAATTTTAACGCATTAACAATATCAAAAATTCATTATTATTAACGTGAAAGAAGAGATGACCTTGAACTGTCTTGAAACGTGTAAGTACAAGTGACAATCGGCCTATAACAGACGTACAGACGCCATATTGGGTCATCCTTGATGACGCCAGAACCTCTTCATTGAAGTCTCGTTGGCTGATCAGATAACTGGATTGCTCTGTTATGAAATCATTAAATTTTATAAGCACATATTCTCTAATTACAGGAATATTTTTATGTCAATAGCGCGCTTTGTTTTGGAGATAAAATGCCCTAAAATTGAGGGTCTCCTTCTGTCAATTTAGCGAGAGAAGGGCTTTTTTGTTCGTTTATTGTGATTGTAAAGCGAGATAACAGAAAGACTTTTCATGCTGCCAATTCTGTACATCAAACTGGCTTAGTTTAACACAGACATACGAGGCCATAAGTGTCTGACGAAAGAAGTGCAGATCAGGCTTGCCGTTGGTACAAAGTGTGACAAGTATTATTACAAAATTTTGACAATCTTATTACAAAGAGCGACAAGTACAACTTTATTGCAAAGTGCAACGATTATTAAGGTGCGACAGATTAAGGCTCTTAAGAAAAAATACAGAGAGCGTATGGCCCTGCAAAATTTCAAAAATAAAAGTGCCGTCAAGAGCTCTAAATTTAACCTCTTTCGGAAATAAAAAAGGAAAAACCTCAAGGGCGAAGACTAGTTTGTTTAAAACGACGGTAACTCTTGTATGCATTACTTATGTAAATATAAGCTTCGCGTATACTGTAACGAACTGTTTTGAGACATCCTTTTTCGGAACAACTTATGACTCAGATCGAAACAGGGAAATTCTGTGCTGCTGTTCTTGTAAAAACTTGCCTCCTAGCCCAGTGAAAGCTCTGTCCACCCGTTTTATAAAAAAGGCCCTTATGAAAACAATAACATAACTGCGAATTTGATTTCTAAACGGAAATTTACAAAGAATACTCCGACACGGTTCTAAGAGCATCCGAAAGATAATTAATAACTTTGCTTACTGAATTCGAATAAACAGATTTGATTCCCATTCTTTACGATTGTTATTAATTTCCTCCCATTTCTTTACCCTTCCATTTTACTTTTCCACTTCTTAACTTTCCTACTTCTTTACTTTTTTACTTAAGCATTGTAATTACTTCTTTGTGAGCTGTCAAGTTGTCACCTCTGCTGACCTACCTTAACTGACTTTCAAAATTTGATAGTAGGAAAATAAACAATCCTTTAGATTATAACAATTGCTGCATTATGAAAACACGTGATTCACAAAATTGATGGGACGTGCTATTTTTCCCAAGAAGTATTCTTCCCAAAAGTGTTCGATAGGTTTCATCACATGGAGCTTGAGATATGCACAATATCACGCTCCTTGTACCACGCTACCTCGGGTCCTCCGGTGCCTTCCGGAAAAGACTTGGTAAAAGGGTAAACATCAAGCACCTCCAAGCCAGCCTGGCACATGAGAGAGGTTGCAAGAGAATTATAGAGTGCCACACGCTGCAAAGGAAAAATAATGATAATTATACTACTTATAATAGTAGGACGGCTTAATTGAGAGTTTTCCAAGAACTGTATTCGAGCTGTCAATCGTTTTAAGTAAAAATTTAATTTAAAAAAAGGAAAATCAAGGACAATTAGATATTAAGTCACATTTCTCAAGGCATTTAAAGTTCTTATTTTTGAAAGTAATCTTCAGTCTTGGGCGAAAATTAAAATTGAGTGAATTCAATTTGGCTACGTAAAAGGATAACGCGTGAAATAAGCGAACGACTGGCGGAGATATCGACTTTTCAACCGGTCGATGATCAACCAACCATACGCACAAAGAAGAAAAACAATAACGTACCAAAAAAAACAAAGAAAAAGCAAATAACTACTTGAAAGTGCCAACTATAATGTCTGCTTTTCCCCCACATACTTACCGGTAGAGCAAGAAATGTTCGTCGTTCACTCGTCAGTTGACTTCCAGGGTCCTTCTCCTTGCTTATAGAAGTGGACGTTTTCCATACTACACGAGCCTTATGCTTCAGTTCGCCTGTACCTTTGTTTCTTTCGTTCAATAGATCAATCACCTTCAAAAGAAGTATTCTATAATCTTGTAATCTGATGCTCTCCATGTAATGCTGTCCAAGATTCAAAATCAACACACTGTTTTCGCTCATATAGGTTCTTTCCAGCACAACCTGAGACTATCGAGAATTATGGACTCATCGAAGTCTTTATGATCCCATTTTGAAAACTGGCCACTGTAAGGGTAAACCCACATTTTACTAAGGTTACAAGATTTAAAGATCTCCGTGCAAAGTGATCCATCCGTTATCAATAAATGCAGTCTTTCGGCCTGCGAGTCTCCATAAATCCACAACTTTTCCAGCTTGGGAGCCGTAATTTCATTGGCTTAATGTGCCCTGGTACTTCTGTAAATAATTCAAGTGGTTAGAGCTTACTTGAACTTCCGAGCAGGACCAACAGTATGTAAATAACGAAAAATAATAACATTTACCGTCAGGAGCAGTATGCAAGACGAGAATCACATATGAATCAAGTGTCACGTGACGGCTCGTCACAAGTTCTGTATGGCTCAGCGGTAGAACAACTGAACGGTATGTGCGGGAGGTCCTCCGACCTTAATGCGTCTGCGCAGGGACTCGTTTTCTACGCTCTTCAGCGAATTCACTAAAGAGCGTAGAAACAGACTATGTTACACAAGCTCTGAATTTTAACGTAATTACCGTTATAGTTTTCAGACTTTTAGTTCTTACTTACGTCTACCATTTGTACGACAACTAAAATCTGTTGGTTTATATTTGACATAAATACCCTCGCAAGAGTTACATGCTCAATTTAATTCGCTAGTTCTGCTTAGTTGCCGTAAACCACAATCCCGAAACATACCTGTAAGACATGGCTTCCAATTTTTTCCAAGCCAACGGCCGATTCCATCCCACGTAAATTTAAAATCCACGCCACAAGAGAAGTTAAACTTGGCAGAGAGGCAGTGGCGGTCTGGTAACTGGTTCATTAGAAATGCTCCTACAGGAATAAACCGGAAAGGACTGGAACATTGCAACAAATGGCAAATAGGTTCACTTGGATTGTATTTGAAACGGTGCACTTGATAGCTTTTCCTAAAGGGTCATGACGATCAAAGTAATGCGGGAAAGAGTGTCCTTGCTAGACAGAAGCTCAAACGCGATCAGCGACTGATCTTAATTTATCTTCGGGGTGAAGGGGATGTGGAACATTTTGGTAAAGCCACAACAAAATTTAACTATTCTCCCCTAAAGCTCTGTTGCTTTCTAATGATCTTACTTTTTGAACAATCAATTTTCTGTAGTCCCACCCCTCTTTAAACTTACTCGCGACAACTGATCCTCTTCTGTTCCCCCTGAAAACCATAGAGAAAACTATGAGATCCCCCAAATT